TCTGGAGTAACTGGGTCATAATTTCTGGGAAGAGACATTGCTGTTCAGTTTATCAGACGTATTTTTTTTTTGTGCTTTGAGCATCACATGCCGAGCGCCATCTTGTTCCATTATCTTCAGGAGAAGGCAGACATCTCTACAGCTGATATCTCAACACTTCAACACTTGAAAACTCACACCAAAACAATCAGGACTGATAACTAGCACTACAGGTAAGAGGAAAAATATGTATGTTTGATTTTAGGGTGAACTGTCCCTTTAAAGCAGTCTGACTGACATATTTGCCCTGTATAACCTCTAAGTTTTCCCCAACTGTTCGTAAAAGCAGATATTCTTGTGCCATTTACCGGTCAGGTAAAATGATCTTCATTTCATTCTGCTAAAAATAGAGGCTCTTGAAATCCACTTTGACTTTTAACACACAGTATCACTGCCACCAAAGCAACACAATATGCCCCGATAAGTGCAGTCGGCCTCAGCGGACAGGAGAAAAATATAGAGCTATAACCCTGGATGATACTCGCAATGCACCAGCTACAGTAGGCTTTTTATATCCAGAGGAGAGGAGCTAACTTACCGAGCCTGACCTACTTTGATCTCAGATAAATGGTGAGACTCACATCAAGGACTGTTTCCATTCACATCAAGAGGTTTTTGTGCCGTTTCTGAATTGGTGATGGGAAAAGGTCTTTACGTGATATTATCACTTAAAGCAAGACACACAATATCTCTGCAGATCTCATTCTCAGCCCAGCAGGGTTTGGGAAATAGAGCTGAATATCAGTCAGATAGTTGTTCATTTTGTTTTTAGTGGTGTAATGTCTGCAGTCATTGTCTGGCCGGCGGGATTTACAGTAGCATCAAGGAAGCTGAATGCCACAGTTTTTGAGGATGTTTCTGTATCAACAGCCGCTATTTGGGAGGTGAGTTTCTGAATGTACAAACTTGTGTTAGCCTCGAAGTCATAAGAATCTTTTACCTTGGAGCTGAGAGGGCTGCTGTGACACAACTAACTCACAAGTCCAATCTGTTTTAGTTGTGTCACCCACCTCTCACCAAAAATTAGCAAACTTTAAGCAAAACTGTGAAATATCAGATTCCTCCTTGCTAGACATTCATGGACAAAAAAGAAAGCCTCCGACCTTGGTGGGCCGAAACAGCGAAGCCCCCGTAGTTCTTGGACAAAGATGCTCTGTATCATAGATAACTAAACTACAAGCTAAAGCCCTAAACTTCCCTGCTCCCTGGTTATCGCAGACGCTACACAAAGACCAGGCAGTTAAATTTGATCCTTGTGAAACACCAACAGATGCCTCCTCGCTCCAGATGCCGTCCTGTGCCTCTTATCGTAACTAAAGTCACATGACCCCGACCTTCACTATCTGGACAGGGAAGGGGAGGGGGGAGAGAGGACTTATCAGAGCTCGCTGGGGGTCCGAGCCATGTACAGCATTAATAAGAACACATACACAGCCCCACAGACGTACAAGTACAACACAGGGCCATCTGGAGCAGAGGAGGATCCCCAGCTTCATTAAAAGATCAACAGGGCAACCCTGTCAGTGATCTGCGGAGCCGTGCAAGAGATAAGCCCCTGTAAATGGAGGGATGAGCGGCCTCGGCCAACTTAACCATAGTAGTGTTAATATCACACGACCACAGCTGAATGTCACTAACAATCTTAAATGTCTAATTGGCAGTCACCATATGTAACTCCAAAATACACCACGGTTAGTCATTGTTGTGAAATACTACTGCAGAGTTATTGACTGAATCAACCCAAGGTGACGTCTTGAAATGTATTACTTTGTCTGACTAACAATCTAAATATACCTACCTAAATATATATAAAAATGATGTTCAACAGAGACACTGAGCAGTATTCCCTCAAATGTGCTTGACAAATTTGCTTGACTTTAACAATTAACTGACATGTCATTTCACCTCTAGCTGATCATTTCTTTAGTTAAATATCTAAACACTGGTTTTCCAGTAGGTTTTTACAGAATAGTGAACATCTACGGAATAGGAAAATGCAGCCAAATCTGTCAACAAAAGACATACCTGCTTTCATTTCTCCCAACTCCAGAAAATAGGACTTACAGCCCATTTAATCACCAGCAGAAATAGATGGTGCATTTTAAGTGTGTTTCAGTCTGTCATCATTAACCAAGCCACTGTATCCTTATAATGGGGCATTAATCTTCATCAGGAAGTCAGTTTGAACACATGTAATGAATTGAAGAGTGGTCTTACGGCATCCCAAAAGCAAAGAAAAGGGAATCAGGGAAGAGATGTGGCATTAGAGGACCTGCAGGCCGATATAAGATTCAAAGAGGACATGTAAATGCAACTTTGGGAATTTAAAAAGCCAAACATAGTGGCAATGAAAGCAAAACTGCTTCAGTACAAGCAACAGCAGCATTAACTTACTTTGAGCATTGGTGAGAACTAAACGTCGACGCAATTAAACCTTTAAACCAATATTCATCACCTCGTATTCTTCTGCAATTTCAGAAATACAAACAACCATTTAGCTCCCCTAGTGCAGTAATGGCTATCTGTCACACACAACTGAGAGCTGTCACATTCACTGTAAACATTCACACGAGTAAACACGTTATTATTATTTATTTTCACAGGGGAAAACGAGTGTTAGCGTCGACAGAGGTCCCACCAAGCTAACTTAGCTCTAAGCTCCAGAGCCCAACAGCTCGGCTAACGTTAGCAGCTGCCTCATCTGTCAAGATACAGATGTTGTTGGGCAGGAGTCAAGGATGCTAGTGCGGCTGAGTAACGTCCGGTGACACCGCAACAGAAGGCAGACAAAACCAAACACTATCTCTAAAAAATAACCCTTACCTTAACGTGTTATTTCGGCCTTTAAGTCAGAATTAAGAGGTTCCTGCTTCTTCTTCGGCTGCGGTGAAAGTAGCGTCCGTACTACGACGGCTAAGCTAGCCGTTAGAAGAGCGGAGACAGACTGATAGCCGATGTTGTGATGGACCAATCCAGCTGAGCTCACAGGTCCCGTGTTTCACACAGAGGAAGTGTTGGGGACACGGGCAGTGCGGTGGTTTCAAGGAAATAATTACAGCAACATGCCTCACAAGGAGCGGAGGAGGAGCGGAGGAGGTGCGGGCTGCCGTTTGTTCCCCTTTTTGTGTCACTCACGACCTCGAAATGAAACACTTGGCTCTTGTAGGATTTCTGCTACAAGCACTTTGTGGCCGACTGGCTCCCCCCTGTGGTGAGAGGGAGAGTTGCACCCTGGAGCTCGGCAGCTTTGTGCAGTATGGTTTTTACACTGTTTTTAATATTAATTTAATCCTAACAAAAATACAATTAAAAAATGGGTTAAATAGCATAATATTCAGGTCTACCAGTAGTATAGACTCCACGGTAAATACATATCCTATCAAGCATTACAGTGACCAAGTGATTAGCTTCTTAAAGGGACAGCTCACCACAAAATCAAGCTTAGATACTTCTACTCTTGTACATAGTGCTATTTATCAGTTTAGATAGATTTTTTAAATTCCTTTTACTGTCATGATATAATTTCATAGATCTTGCTCATTGTGAAATTATTAAGTGAGAACTTGTATTGACATACAATGATAAATAGCAATGAATAACACCAAGTTATGTAATGGCACAGGTTTGTATTTTTAAGAATGTTATCGTAATTTTGGTGTCACAGAAAAATGAATTCCATTAATTCCATTTCTTATTTCATGGTTCATAATCATTTTTTTTTTCTTTCGGGTTTTTAACCTTCAACATAAGGCTGAGAATTAATATGAAAAAAAATGGAAGAAAAATAAATTACTCACACACATGCGCAAAATAAATAAATAAATAAAATAGATTGATAACCTAGATAATCTAAATTGTTTTGGTGTGAGTTGTTGAATGTGGGAGCAATCTCTCAAATATAATGGAACCAAATAGCACTTGGTTTGTGGTGCTCAAAAGGCCAAAAATAAAATTTCAAAAACTCAACAGCAACGTCTCTTTCCAGAAATCATCAATCAATCATGTTTTTATATTTTTAAATAGTCTGTAGCTACCTAAAACATTTAAAGTTTTTTCTACATTAGCTATAAAATCTATAAATTAACTATAAAAACTATTCAATTAAATGATTCATTTCTTACTTTCTTTGATTTTTTTGGCAGATATGCAATGATTGTATTATGTATGTTGATGTCCAATGTAAAGTCTCTATTTGTGTCGCGACAACACACACACACAATAGCCTGCACTAGGGGCTGTCATCATAGTGTGCACTGGGGCCCGTCCTAACTTCGTTGAGCCAATGTTGGTGGGTGTAGTTTGGTAGAAAGCAAATAGTTCCTACATGAAAGCGCTCACAAGACCTGTAAGTCATCTTGAGTATTCGAGCCCTGATTACTGGATAGAGACAGAAAACCACAAGCTGAGAGCCACCTAATTCCATTATATTCCAGAGCAGGCAAACATCTCTATGGCCAATACCTCCAGCACTCTGCAACTCACACCAAAACAGTCTAGACTGATGAATAGCACTACACAAGAGAGGAAAAATATCTTGTCTTGATTTTGGGGTGAGCTGTCCCTTTGACTGCCCCCCCACCCATCATGTTCTCTGTCACACAGTCAGACAAATGTGCCTTCATTGGTTTACAATTTCACAAACCTGAGCAAAGACTGAGGCCAGGACATTCTTTTGAACATTTTTAGACAATAGTCAAATTTGACCTCAAGACATGCAATGTGTAACTGATGTATCTTGCCACCCACCAAATACTAAACACTACATTTCTTAACTTTGACTAATATTTGTTGCAAAATATCTGTGATGCAAAATCCAACTGAGGCATGTAAGATGCTGAGAACTAAGGTGACCAAATGAAGAGTAGACATTCAAAAATCAAGCATTTGTAGCCTTCAAAGAGGACAAAAAAAAAAGGTTGTCACCAGTAATATCTAAGTTGAATTCACGAGGACAGGACACATCAAATTGAAATATGTTTATTTCCATAAAAAATGAAAGTAAGTCACTAAATTGCAAAGCACAGGATTGCAAATATATCAAAGAGATCCAATCCAAAGACAACAAAATTAAAAAAGAAACAAAAGACTATACAATGCAACAATCTGGACACAGCTGGAGCAATTATCGCCTCTTCTGGAAGATGTTGCCTCTTCCCATTCCACCACGGCCCCGACCCCTCGCAGCCACTGCAGATGAAAGCAGGGAAAAAGAACAGTTTTAACAAAATGATACAGAAACATCTATTGGTTCAATAATTTTGCCACATATGAAGAAAATGAAAATGTGCTAAATGTGGATAATATGAGCATACATGCAAAACTATGCAGTGAAAATATCCCTGTATTAAATGCTACCTTTGTAAAACTGAAGCTGAGAAAGTCTTTATGTAAGAAGTTATGTCACATTTACTGTAAACATATGGAAATGGCCGAGGAGATACTAGTCCAAAAACTCTGCACCCACCTTGTGCTTTGAGAATAGCGGCCTTGCCCCTTCCTGCGCCAGATCCCTGGTTCTTGTTCTTCATACTCTTTAACATGGGAGCGTTCTTTAACATGTCCGGTAAGATCAGGAAACGAATCTTGCTGCCACGGATGTAGACCTGCTCCAACTGTGCCACACGACCATCGCGATAAGTCACTGTTATGTTGGACATCTGTGGGGACAGAAGAGAAGTGGAATTTTAGCTACTCGACAAGTTGAATCACGAGGTTGAAAAAAAATATTTTTCATGTTACAGCAAATGTAAAATGAAATTCTTGAGCTAAAAGTGGAAATGCACCCCAAAGTGAACTTCAATTCTAAACTACAGCTTAAATCACAGTGCAAGCCCACCTGTTTACACACTGCAACAATAGGTCTGTTAATCAGTGGTTCTGAATCTTGGTCTTTCAACACAACATCTCTACTGCTTTCATTTCTTACCATCTAATAGGGGACCAATTATTTACAACTTGGTTTCCAGGATTTTTTTTTTTTTTTTCAGTTGACTAGCTAGCAGGATTGGAGCCAGGTCTCTAGTACTTGGGAACCAGGGCTGATAACTGTTGTGTTAAATGAGACACCACCAAATGGAGGAGATTGCAAAACTTGGTTTAACTAGAAGTAACAGTCTATTGTGTCTAGTTGCATGAGACCAATCATTGTCACAAATCTTCACAAATTTAACAAGTAGCTTCAAACTGAGTCATCTTGGAAGTTAGCAGATGAGGAACACACAGAAATAACACTTACTCCACACAAAGATGTACAATCATTTAAATGTAACAGCATGCATGCACCTAAAAAATATAGTGGGAGGTTGAATAATTTATTTTGATCCAAATTAACAGTTTGTATCAAGCAGAAACCAGTAAAAAAAAAATCAAATGTAGATTTGTAGGAAACACTGTCAACACAACAGCATCAGCCTAAAAAAAGTTACAAAAGAAGAGGGTAATCTGTCAATTCTCCTTAAATCTCACACTTAAGGAGTATTTTCTTTCTCTTTTAAAAGTAAACTAAATACATATTTTTTCGAAAGCTTTTAGTTTGGTTTTTAAGTGTATTTTTATTTGTTTTAGGAATTTGTATTATTGTTGTTATCGCCCCCCTTTTTAAGAGTAATGATAATAGTACCCTCTTATTGTGTTTGTTTTTATCGTGTCCTGCTTGTTTTTATTTGTGTAATACGCTGTCATATGATATCTTTTGTTTGTCATGAATGATGCATCTTAAGCACATTGAGTTTGTGCTTGTAGTATGAAATGTGCTATATAAATAAAATTGACTTGACTTTCTGTATTGTTACTCATCACATTTATGGGCATTTGCTTAACACATATGATGGGATTAGTCAAAACCTGACGACTCGCAACACAAAATGAGTTATGTGTGTTCAGGTAATCAAGCACACGAGCTAGTCAAGGTTTCCTGAACTATGCAGTTCCCAAAACTCAAGGGACAGTTAAAAGACAAAAAGAGTCATAACCAGGGTTTGAAACTGGCACCAGCTACCAGCCAAATGCAGGTAAAATATGTAAGTGGCTGATAGATTTTCTTCATTGACCAGCCAAAAAAAATGCAGGTGATCTATTGAGTGGAAGGTAAATTTTGGAATCCACCAGCCACAGTGGCCACAAGTCACAAAAGTTCATATCCAACCCTGGTCATCGCTCTGTGTGGTGTAAGGATGACCTTCGTTTCCGATTATTATTCATCCTACATTATTGTTAAAACTTTTTAAAAGTTTTTTTTTTGGATTTTAGCCTTCAATAAATATGATAGATTAAGTGTGAAGATGGGAGAGAGATAGAGGGAGCCCACGGCCGCTGCAGCAACAACATGACTTTGTGTATGGGACGCCTGCTCTATCCACTGAGTCACCAGACGGCCCATATATTATTAAGGACCAACCTGGCAGTTCATGTTGTCCTCAGCCTCGATCAGCTTGCCCCTGTACACCTCTCCAGTGTTGGTCTCACAGGTCACAATGTGTCCCTCTGCCTCGTGCAGGACTTTGATTGGGACGCCGATGGACATGTTTCAGCTGTGTTCCTGAAAAACAAGGATTGCAGGAAATGTTACAAAATGCAGTCACTGTCACCAACATCTTCCTACAATCTACCTCTACTTCAAGACAATTAACTTACTTCTGTTTTATTTTATTAAAACTGAAAACAAAGTCAAAACCAATGTGTTATGTGAATCTGTTAGTTGCATTAGCTTTAGCTCTGAGGCTGTACACATAACGTTAATCAGTGTAAATCGTAACTATGGCTTGGGATATTACAATAAACTATTACATATTAATTATATACCTTTAGTAGGATGCAATGTTTCAATACTATAACTCAGACCTGGTAAATATGACCAGTTTTTCTGTTAAAGCAGATCAACTTAGCCGCTAGCTATATTAGCTACATTAGCTAACGGTAGACTTCTATGAATTACAACTACACAGCTCTTAAGGTATCGTTATCTAATAAAGGTTCAGACCTCCATAGATTATTTTAAAGGAATTACTACAAACTAAAGCCTCATGCAACTTAAATACGTAACTCAATTTAACATTGACATTTGATTCTTTACTGAAGAAACTTTGGGTTCTGCAAACAGGCGGAACCATGTTAGCACCGAATGAATGGACTATTAGAAACAACGCAGACAAACACCACTGTTGACTAAACTACGTGATAGTGCGATTTTTAAAAACATAATAAGACGGTTACCTTTATCTTTTCTTGGAAACTGGTATCGTTTGTTGTTTCTTCTTACCGACTAAGCAACGTGCGCTTGTCGCTTTCTTCGCGTACCTTTTGGAGCCTTTTCCGCCTACCCACAATGCCACGGTGGTTCAAAGAATTACTTCCGGTGGTGCCTTGCGTTGCATTGTGGGATTTGGTGTTTTGAGCTAATATATCGTCCCCAGGAGAAAACTCCTGATTTGTTTATGGGGTTATTGTTTGATGTTGGATGGACTAGAACTGAAGGACAAAAAGTGTAATAATAAGCATATCTGTCAAATATTTCAGAGAAAGAACAATACTGTAGCTAGAGGGAAGTTCTTTTGGAGTTCTCAGATTGTGGACCTGGCTTTTACCCCACAAATATTGCATCTCTAACAAAATCAAAGAAACTCACTTTAAAATTTTACATAAAATTTACCCCGTTAATTGTTTTATTGCCAAATTTACCGAAATAGATGATTTATGTTCTTTTTGTAACCAATGTGTTGAAACTATTTCACATTTATTTTTTGATTGTAGAATCACAAAAGCTTTCTGGTCAGCTCTTAATCTCCATTTTTTCAACTCTGCCAATATCAAATACTCCTTTACATTAAGAGATATCATCTGCTACTACAATAACAAAAACAACAAAGATTTTGAATTTTTACTAAATTTTGTAATCCTTCATGCTAAATTTTACATTCACAAACAAAAAATTGCCAAATCTTGCCCCAATTTTAAAACCTACCTCTTAGAATTTGATTACACTATGAAATCCTTAGGTTTAATTGAAAACAGTAGAAGTATCAAACTTACTGCTCATTATGAAACGTTTTTCCCATCCTCTGACTAAAATGTGTTGCTTATTTTTATTGTCCTGTTATACTGTCTTTATGTCTGTACCAACACTTTTTAGAGTCTTGTATGTATTTTTTACATTGTCCCATTTGAGGTGTACCTGCTTGTTAACACTTTATTGTTCAATTAAAAAAAAAAAAGGGGGTTATTGTGCTTGTTTGTTTATTTTGTGTATGATGCCAATGAAAATTTGACTGACGCTCTGTTTTCCTGACCCTCGGTCATCTCTGTCACCATACAGCAAGTTTTTGTATAGATTTACATGTAGTTCAGTCAGGCTTAACTCAATAGAGGGACACCCAGGATAGTTTTTATTGGTCCTAACACCCTCCAGCATCATATATTAAAAGTATAATTTCATGGATTTAGTGTAACTTTTTTTTTTCAAGGTCAAAAGCAAAGTGTCAGTGTTTTACAGTCATGGTCTGTGTAAAATGGTGTTAATATTGGATGGTCTGTGTGTGCCTATCCAAGATATTTGGTGTCTTTTCCTAAGCTTTGGTGGTAAGTCTTTTAAATAAAACACATCTTCAAAGGAAATTTGAATGTATTATATCTGTATTTTGGGGTACTACTACCCAAAACCCATTTTTTAACCACATTTTCCACTTACAGTTTGTGCCACACTGCTCCTATAGCTGCGTCTACATTTACTATGTGTATACATTCTTGTCTTGTGTATAGACATATT